TTAGTTAAAGCAAAAGGTGGTCCAACAAAATACTGACACAAGGGGGGGATCCTTTTTCCAACTCAGTGATTCTAGTTTTTTATTTTTTTCCTGACATGTTGGTGTTATATCTTTCACTTGGATGTTATAAGTTGCACGGAGTAAATACAGCTGGATAAAACAAAAACTGTGTCCATATTCATTTCAGGCTCCAAAGCAACAAAATATGATTATTTTAAAGGGGGGTGATTCTTTTCTATACCCATTGTATATATAAAATGATAAAGTGCCCATAGTTGTGAGTTGATCTACCTATTATTTTTAATTAAACAAATACATTTATTAAAAAAGAATTATTTTCTTCAAGTCAAGACAGTCAAAAGCGCCCATAATTGAAGAAACACCCCAATATGAGTAGATCTCTCAAGTCTCCAAGTTAGACTAAGAGGACTCTGATAAGTATACTCCACGGATCAGGTATTTAAAAATGTGATGCAGAATGCAACTGCATCACCACCATATAAAACACAGATGGTACTAGGCAATCTGAAGAATGTCAGAAAAGCGGAACGGGTTCCTGAGATCTAAGCGATACAGATCATGTACAATTGACAATGATGTCACCCTCTGTGGTAGCCATGACAACGTGTTCTGGTTTCCCCAGCTGACACTCATAACAAAGAGAATCTCAGTGTGAGGACAGACCCAAAGAGTCCATTTGAGTCCAATCCCACCAGAGCACAGACAAGCTCAAAGCTTTACATTGACAAACTGTTCTTAAACTGGGGCGAGGGTGAAAGACTCGATGAGACGCTGCGAAGAAGAGAGTAGCTGGACGATGATTTTTACGCCCATCTGCTGGACTTCACAGGATGGTGAGGATGATGAAGAATTTTGCTGCTTCACTCCCTTTTGACAGCTGACTTCATGCCAGCCTTAAGGCACAGTGTCTAATTGCATCTTGCATCCCCGAGCAATGTGGAGGATATCTATCTATCTATCTATCTATCTATCTATCTATCAAACATAAAATATTGAATAAATAATGAATATTTTATTATTGAAAATAATAAACAAAAACGAATAATTATATCACACAGTGTGAGATTGCTACACACACTGTGAAAAATATTGAATAAATATCTTTATAAAAATATCTATAAAAAAATCTATAAAAAAAACAAACAAAAAAAATCTCATTATCTATCTACATATATATCTATACACACAGTTACCAAAAAAATCCTATTTTAAATAAATTGTTCTTTTTAACTTTTTATTCAAAGAATGTGAATCACAGTTTCTATATTTCCATATTATTTCTCAACAGTTTATGTTCACTTGAGAATGATGATATTTTTGATGATATTCGCCAAGATATCATGTATTTTGACACAATCTTGTATGTAGATGTGTTGTTTAAAGTGCTAAAAAAGAGAAAGTGAACGTGCGACACGCCTCTCTCTGTCACACAAAATGTAGCTCTTTAAATTTAGCTCTTTCATGTGTGCTCGCATCCTGTAAAATCGCTTGAATGTTTTAACTGGCAAGGCTTAAAAGCATGTGCAAATGATAATCTTTCGTGCGGACGCAGCAGTGGTCCGATCAGAACCATAACAGATCACTTATCTGTCCTGAGCGTCTTTCACACTGGCCTCTGGACAACAGACAGTCATTATTGTCTTGCTCTGACCTGCTAATGATCAGATATGTTTTTTAGCTTGTCAGTATGAATGAAATGTATGAATTTAATTGTAAATTTAACTGATTGAAAACGAAAACGAATGAGGGGAGTTTGAAAGATTTCTTATCCTGTGGCTCTCTCTAGTTGAGTGCAATTGTCCTCTAGAGGGAGCTCAGCCAATGTAAGTCTAAGGCAAATTTTTGATTTTTAATAATTATTTATCCGAAAACTGTAAGTCTGCTCAGTCTGAAAAGATATAGCAACAAACTACACATCAGGGCCCAGGTCTCTGCCGAGTTTGGTGCATGTAGCATGAAAGCCCTAGGAGGAGATACAGTCAGAAATTTTAGTTTAAGAAGAAGAAGAAGAAGTAGTTTACTGTATATAGCATAACAGTATGTTGGCTGTCTCAAGCCAACATAATGATTTATGAAGAATTGAAGGATCATGTGACACTGAAGACTAGAGTAATGACTAATGAAAATTCAGCTTTGCCATCACAGAAATAAATTATATTTTAAAATTTCAGATATTTTTTTTTAAATGACAAGGCAAGGTTAGTTCAGTTTAAATTCTGTAAAGTGTCATGTGCTACGATATCCCCAAAACATAATGATATTTATAAATGAATAATCCACAATATCTGTAAAAACCTTCTCACCTTGAAAATATATTTACAATTAATATGTGTACCTTTGCATCTATTCAGTGTGTGAGGAAAATATGTGCAAAAAAAAAACTTTTTACTTGATGGTTAAATTGCATTTTTAATTATTTTAGTCATTCAAATTAAAACTTTTCTTAAATTATATGATTTTTTTTTTAAACTATAGTAAACAAACATTAAAGTATATTTAGAAAACTCTTATTTTAAAATGCTGTTACAAAATGTATCATACATTAAAAAATAAATAAATAAAAATAATATATATATATATATATATATATATATATATATATATATATATATATATATATATATATCTCTCTCTTTGATGGTTAAATTGCATTTTTAATTATTTTAGTCATTCAAATTAAAACTTTTCTTAAATTATATGATTTTTTTTTTAAACTATAGGAAACAAACATTAAAGTATATTTAGAAAACTATATATATATAATGTTTATAAAATGTAATTGTTTGATGTTTTCATGGTAGTCTATATATCATGGTAGCTTGCAAGTCATGGGTACTTAACCAGACTAAAAGCCTGTGAATTATTTACACTGTCTGCTTCAACAGGCCTATGCATGTGTAGAGGGAACAAGGGATATGAGAAGAAACCAATTAACATAAAAAGGGAGAGATAGAGAGAGAAAAACAGACCTATGATTTAAATTAACCATCAGTGAGTCATCACCACAAAGACAGTATTGACGTCTGAAGATGAATGTCTCAGATAAACTAGCAAAGGAATCTTTGATGAGTTTACTAAAAGACTACCAATTAATAGGTCGTATACGCTCGGCCTACATCAACTGAGATTTGTTTGATTTAAAGATTTAATGATAAAAGACTGAAGGGTACAAATTAGACTGGATGGCTCACTCAGTTTTTCCACGGATTTCCATTGGAAATTCAAGCAGATGTTGATTCTGAAATGTAATTAATTAATTCCATCATTCATCATCTGAGATTAAGCTGATTTAAATGGAGTCTCGGTCCACAGGCATCCTACAAACCTCCTTTGTGTTGAAACCAGTCCAGTCTTAAAGGGATAGTTACACACTCTCATTTCAAACCTGCATGCAGTTTGTTTTTCTGTAGTACACTAAAGATTTGTTTTTCCCACACAGATCTTTTACATATAACAAAAGTCTGTACAGCACCATAAAGTATAATAAAAGCAGTCCATGTAAACTCTTGAACTATATTCCAAGTCTTCTAAATCATACGATGTGTGAATCATTCAATGCGCTTTGCATGAAAAACAGGTCAAAATTCAAGTCATTATTCCATGAAAATCTTCCTCATCCAGTAAACTGTGACCGAAACACCCGAGTAATTTTACTGATTAAGAACCAGATTATAATATTGGGTCCGAGTCGAGTCCAAATCCTTAACCAACTGAGTTTGAGTGGGAGATGTTTATTAATGTCTTGTTTTTATTTTATGTTGTTACTTTTTTTAAAGAGCAGGTCATATGGTATTTTAAAGTGTCCTAATATTGTGTTGGAGTACCCTACAACAGGTTTAAATGCATCTAAGATCAGAAAACATTGTCATTTTCTCAGAATATACATTTAATATTAAAATAATTTTTCAATGATTTCGAAACAATTCGTTAGAAGCAGTTCTGGGCTTAAGGCCTGTAAACCCCTCCCTTCCATAAGCCTACTCTGCTCTGATTGGTCAGCTGGCCAAGTCTGTTGTGATTGGTCTTTCTGTATACAATGCGTGTCGGAAATTAACATTAACATTAACATCTTTTGCTCCAGAGGATTACTTGTAAACAAAGATGATATAAGCTTACAAAAATGGCATTGATATTACCTTATCAATTTGAGCCCGTCAAGCAGTCGCTCAACCGGAAACTCCATTGCAAGCACAACTTGATCAGGACGTTTCTCACTGGTAAGTTTAAACTTTGTATGTGGTACTTTACCTGATGACTTAACATCATCATCTTTCAGCAATAAAAACAAAAACTTGCGTTGACAACGCAGAACACAGCGTCTTCTCAACCTGATGTAAACACACTAACTAGCGGAAGTGTTTGTGGGCAGGTCAGAGTGTTCGTATTTCTTGGGCAGGCGGGGATTATGCAAATGTGTTACCTTGTGACGTATATAGGTAATAGGCAGAAGATTCGAAAATATGACGACTCGTTAAGGCGGTTCAGAATTGACTCTTTCTTTTTAGAGACAATATCTTCATTTATCATGCACTTTTTTTGATTAACAACTTTGCAGACTGTTTACATTGAAGGGTAGCTACGTTACAAACTGCAAAAAATATATTTTTCGAAAACCCATATGACCTGCTCTTTAATATTTCATGTGTCTGAGTTCGAGTACAAGTCTGCCCGAGTGCGTCCAAGTTCATTCATAGTCTGCGTCAGAGTCTGACTCCAGGTACCTCAACTCTGCCAGAGTGGTCCGATTTGTAAATGAATCGTTCTTTCAAGCCAGTTCTTTTCAATGAATAAGTTCTCCACTGATACAATTATTCTAACGGAGTTTTTGTTTGTGGTCACTATTAAAATGGAGTGGTGCGAATATTCTTCTAAATTCACCTTTTGTGTTAAACAGAAATCATACGGGTTTATAACAAGTAAATAATGACAAATTAAATTTTTAGGTCAAGTGTTCCAAAACTTTTCCAAAAGTGTATTACCTGTGGATCTGTCCATTTCTGTGAAGGTACTCAAGACCCTGAAGGACCTCTTTCAGCACAGTAGCTATACTGGGTTCATCCAGTACACCGTTCTTGTGTTCCCCCTTTGAAATGATGTGCTTTATAACATCCAACACAGAGCCTGCAACAAAGACAACACAGAGAGCTGTAAGTAGACACAATGTTATACCCTCATTAGCATTACAAGTCCAAACACTAGAAGAGCATCTGCGAAGGTCACATGCTAGGGCGTTTCATGGCAGACTTAAAACATCAAAGACCAATGAGCTTCATTCTTGTGTGACTGGCTTGCAAGTTTTTCAGAAGGTAAGACACAAATTTCATAATTTACAAAAAAATGTCTCTGACTGCTTCCCAAGAACCTTTGTTGTCTTTAAAAAGTATTTTAGTTATGTTTATATATACACACACAAGTTAATTTGACTATGTGACACCCAACCAACCAATATTGTTTTAACCCTAAAGACACCAAAGCAACTGTACAATAGGAAAACAATCTGTCAATCCTTATTTTTCCCATGACATTTAATTAAGGCATATTCAAGAGTCCATGAGGAAAATGTTCCATCAGCAACTTTATTAACCAGTTAGGCCATATTTCGAGCTTGGAGGATGGCCAATGTGTCAGGGAACGCTCTGAACGGCCTAAGAGATCGGTAAGACAAAGAGAGTCTGTTCATGCAACCACCCTAGAGCTGCATATGTAAAACATATCCATGTGAAAAGTTGGAGTAAACATAGCAAATACAATTTTATCCCACTTAGCTTGAGAAATTAAAACTCTCTGAAATGAAATTCTGAGAAAATGAATTCTGAATTCCCAGAGTTCTGATCAAGTTAACTGCAGTGGCATCAAAGGGCTCTCTTCACTGATGCCGAAAACAGAACTTTAAACCCTCGGGAGGGAGAAGAGGTCAAGCAGCATGCCATCAGCAGAGTGGGCGGCTGGCCAGTGTGTTTGAGGGACAGAGTGACAGTCCAAAGGCACAAGGATATTTATTTGAATGGAAACATAAAGCATGTCTATACACTACCATTCAAAAGTTTGGCAGATTCCACAAAAATATTAAGCAGCACAACTGTTTTCAACATTGATAATAATAAGAAATGAAAAAATATATATTTCTGGAGGATCATGAGACACTGAAGACTGGAGTAATGGCTTTACATCACAGGATTAAATCACATTTTCTAATATATATATACAGTTCATTTAAATTGTAATAATATTTTCAGTCCAAAGGCACAAGGATATTTATTTGAATGGAAACATAACAAAGCATGTCTATACACTACCATTCAAAAGTTTGGCAGATTCCACAAAAATATTAAGCAGCACAACTGTTTTCAACATTGATAATAATAAGAAATGAAAAAATATATATTTCTGGAGGATCATGAGACACTGAAGACTGGAGTAATGGCTTTACATCACAGGATTAAATCACATTTTCTAATATATATATACAGTTCATTTAAATTGTAATAATATTTCACAATATTACTGTTTTTACTGCATTAGTAGTTCAAATAATCATAATCACCTTTTAAACCATTTCATAGCAAATACAAAAATACATGCACTGAATATTGTCAAAAGGGTGAAAAATACAGATATACAATTTTGTACAGGCCTTGAAATACTGTGCAGCATGACTCACCAGGAACAACTGAGAGATCATAGCCTACGAAATCAAGGTAGTTTATCACACCCACACCCTAGTTCATGGTAAAAGTGATTCCAAGAAACTGAAAAAGGGCTCATGTGTTTTCTTATTTTGGTTCCTTATTTCTTCTTTCTACAGCTCATTCTTCTTCCATGGATTAAAAAGGGCATCAACGACCTCCAAGTCCTAAAGGCTGTTTCATATAAAAATATAAGTGAGCATTCGAATGAAAGAAAAACAAGACCGTGAAAGCGTGTATGTGCGGGCATGTGTGTGGCATGAAGCCAGCGCACTGCTGACTGAGCGAACAGCACATCAAATTTCAGTGACGGCTACGACCTGGATTAAGAGCAGTCAAGCTCTTACAAAGAGAGAGAGAGAGAGAGAGAGAGAACTTGGCAAATGACACTAATGACGTTAGTTTACAAACCCGTGTGAGGCTGATGGGTGAGGCTGTTGAGTAAAACCAGCAAACATGCTTAGCGTCAGGAGAGATAAAAATTACAGATTTTTCCACAACTCCCCTCAATATATAAGACATAGTTCACCCAAAAATCCTGTCATTATTTACTCACCCTCATGTTGTTACAAACCATATGACTTTCTTCTGTGGAACACAAAAGCTGATATTTAGCAGAATGTTCACGCTGCTCTTTTCCATACAATGAAAGTGAATGGTGACCATGAGTTGAAATATAGTGTACAAGTTTAGTGATTTTTTTTTTTTTGTCATTTTTGTAGTTTGACTTCTGGTCACCATTCACTTTCATTATGGAAAAGAGCAACTTGAACATCATAGATTAAGAGGAACATGAGGGCGAATCATCCAAAAAATTTCACTTTTGAATGAACTAATCCTTTAACTATGAATGTAAATTTTTTGTCATTTTTGTAGTTTGACTTCTGGTCACCATTCACTTTCATTATGGAAAAGAGCAACTTGAACATCTTGTTGAAAATCATAGATTAAGAGGAACATGAGGGCGAATCATCCAAAAAATTTCACTTTTGAATGAACTAATCCTTTAACTATGAATGTAACGGTTCATCAATAAAACTTGTCCCGTGTCAGATCCCAAGAATGTTGCTCATCCTGGAACTCCTCAATCATGTGAAGCCACATGCTGAGGTGTGATTGCGATGTGACTGTAAATGCTTCTCATTTAATTAAATACCATACAAATCAATTTATGTCTTGATCACGAGCCAAGCTCCCTTTCCAAACGTCCTTGAAAGTAACTTTAACCGTGACGATGTGGCACAAAAGCATTCTTGATATTCTCTTGTGACACTTTGAGGAAAAGTATCACCAGGAAATCTCCCCAATGCCCATTCTGTAATTCCAATTATGCTTCCACAACAGGAAAAGAAAATGACTCTTAGTCCAACAGTTGTTAGACTATCTGACACTGCTGGCTTCCAAAGGTTCTTGCATTGGCGTGGGTGGAATATGCCATGTAGTGCTTACTGGGCCAAAGGGCACAAGGCTATACGATGGTGAGGGAAAGATTACTCCAAGAAAATAAGGGTGGAGGAGCAGAGGGAATAAAGGGAAGATAGGAAGCATCTGTTGGCTCTCAGTGGGTTGTGACTATGAGCACAATGCCATATTTCAAAACATTATGCTTAAAATCCACAAGACAGCGAAAGCTTTAGCTTAAAATATTAATGTAGCAAAAATTTCAATTGCTCTGCTTGATGAATAATGAAAAAAAGACACAGTCAAGTGTGTGTGTGTGTGCTCTTACTCTTATGTCTGTGCATGATTAAGTATATTAAAGGGGTCATATGAAGTTGCTAAAAATAACATTATTTTGTGTATTTGGTGTAATGAAATGTTTATGCGGTTTAAGGTTCAAAAAACACATTATTTTCCACATACTGTACATTATTGTTTCTCCTCTATGCCCCGCCTTTCTGAAACGCATCGATTTTTACAAAGCTCATCGTCTGAAAAGCGAGGTGTGCTCTGATTGGCCAGCTATTCAGTGAGTTGTGATTGGCCGAATACCTCAAGCGTGTGACGGAAATGTTACGCCCCTACCATACTGTGATGCCCTGTCCGGCCGGAGCAACGAGACAAAAACATTAAAACCCATTATAAACGAGGCATTTGTTGCATCCAGTGGGGACATAATTACGGATTATAATGACTTATGCTGTCTTTTTACACGTTGCATCGCGTAAACATAAAACCATGTCGGTGAAAGCCGATCCGACGATCCACAGCGCGAAGTTGATGTATTTCCTCAGCGACCAGCACGGATCAGCTCTAGGCATGAAGAAGCAGATATCGCCCTCTTTTGGAAGGCCAAACTAAGTAGATTCGCTTTCACAACGAAACACACGACACGACATGGCGGCAGCAACAAGACTACAGCGAGAATAAAAGTTATGCCTTCTTTCTTTGTGTGAACATTTGGGTGGGGATAATCGGGACATTACCTAGGACTGTCGGAAGGGGAGAAATCAGCCCGATTATCTTGTGGTGTGTAGAGGTCTGCTACCCGACCCGCTCAGGCTCGGGTTTATAGCTAAACTAAAACTATATGCAGTAGCCTAGGCTACGCTGCTTTCATAGACGCACGCACACACATTAGTGCACACGACAACGACATCACAGCACGGAAACTTTTATTAGTAAAATAGCTTCAACAGGCTACTGACTCGCAACTTTATATTTCTCTGCAATGAGGGGGTAAAATCGCTGTTTTGTACCGACTGTTTGAGTGAATACTCGCCAAGACAGAAATTTTTACATAATTTTGTATGTATTTGGCCATTTGCGTGCAATAAGCGACAAAACATAACTCAATTCTGTCGTCAATTCTGTTTCAGAGGTCGCTTGAATGTTTAAATTGGCAAGACTTAAAAGCACGTACAAATGATACATTCCGTCATCTGTCTTCGCGTTATAAGTGCGGAACCTGCAGGAATAAGTAGAATTATGAGCAATCCCGTGCCGAAATTCAAACCCTGTTTTCCTCCGCTAATTCCTTGACTGTGAATGATGTGAGTGGCGTCACTGAGAAGCTGTAGCCATGGCGGGGATGATTTTTGGTGTGGCGGCCCACCATGGCAGAATGAATGTAGCGGAAACACTGGAATATACTAAAAAGTGGAGGGAATGTCAAGTATTATTTTGCTAAAAAAAAAAAAAAACATTTTAGCTAGTAAAGTGAAAAAATGTGAGATATTGAGATCAATTGTTTTGCAGTACTTTTTTTAAAAACACTTCCTGTGCTGACACTATGGAATGCCACTAAGCCGCTTCATGCAAAATCACATTCCTATTTACTGTACGTCATTACTTCCAACAGTTGTCAAAGGGAATATCACACACATCACTCTCAAGATGGGATGGTTAAACATAGAAGTCACATTTCAAGGACAGCTTCAGGCCACCACCCAGCAGATGGCTTTGAGCAGCACGACTCTTTGACCATTCACTGAAGGGGACTGACACATTTTTGCCTTCAAAATCAGAAGTAGTTATTCACACTCATGTAGTTCCAAACCGGTATAACTTTGTTTTGTGTGCAAAGTACCAGAGATAGATTTTAAGTAATGTTTTACCTATTTTTATCCATACAGTGGAAGTCACTGCGGTCCAAAACAACCCCACTGAATTTCATTGAATGGATAAATCAACTTAATTCAATAGGAAAACAAGTTTTCACACCCACTGACATATATACATACACACACACATATATTCTTTTTTTTTTTTAAGTGAGTATAAACTCACTTAATTTTGTTAAATTTCTCAGAAGACTTCATATGTTCAATCTGCATCTCAAATAAATGTATCGTGATTTAAGGATGTTTCGATATTTGTACTGGGAAACAAAGCATACCGAGGAACATATTAATTTTTTATGAGGAAGAAATTAATTTTGTATGCAACATTTAATGCCACGACTGGCAGCTGCTTTCTGCTCTGATTTAGGACCTTTTTAGGCCTTATTTGTGGAAGGGCAAATATTAAGAAATCCTGAATAAGCCATAGATGTTTGAAATGACATGAAAGTGAGTAAATGATGATGACAATTTTCACTTTAAGCTGAACTATCCCTTTTTTACGCAATAAAAACACAGCAGCTGCCCCTGAAAAATCTCTATAATTAGTTGTGTATCTATTACATTTAAACTAGCCGCCTGCACCTCTTGATGAGAGAGTCATTATTATTTAAGATGGTGCCCGCCGTGGTGTGCCCTGTGTGCCAGGAATGACGCCGAGAGTCCAGCTGTGAGACGGCCGTCTGGATGCTTGTGTCCTACCTCCATATTTAAGATGGGCAGCGCGCCACCTGGGCATCTTCAGCTGGCAGAAGCAGAAGGAGGAGGGCACGACAGCTGATGACAGGCGTAAAATGAACAGCGATTATCCAGACAGAGTGATTTCAGCTCTGCACCGGGGGAAGAAAGGCTGCATCCCCAGGCTGTCAGTGTCAGCACGAGCCAGACTATAATCTCCCTGTTCAGCACTTGGCTGCGTCTGGGACAGAACATTACACGCAGGCTTGAAACATATCATCAAACTCTCAGCAGTAGCTTTACACAGTGGGGTCTGGGAAGACAGGATCACTACTGGAGTTTAAGGATGCAATGAAATCAAGAAGAGGAACATTCTGTTTAAAACTCTGAAATAAAACTATTTACAGTCACCTTCACAGCTGCAAAAAAGATGACAAAATCCGATCTGTTTGCACAACGTCATGTGTCAGGACAAAGATATGCTGTGCATGTCTTCAAAAGGCAGACTGACAAGATTGAACGGCTGCATAGTTTGAGATGCATTTTTTCTGATAAATACTGTGATTATGATTCAAAATGCGATTAAAAAAACAGGTTTGCTGTGCTTGTTTGTATTTTTTGTGGTTATTATCACTAAAAAAAAATAATTACTAAAAAAAACGATACAGAAAATTAAAACAATTTAAAATATACTATTGTAATATTTTGCAGAACAATCAAATTAAAATCAAGGAAAAAATTATATAACAGTAATTTTATATTAAATTGCAACTGTTAAAGTTCAAAATTAATATTTATGGCTGTTTTCCTTAATTTTCAAATGTTAAATTACTAAACTTACAGTACTAAAATAACTTCTTTTTAGCATTTATTTATTTATTTAATTAAATCACAGCCTTTGTGATTTGATAATCGCATAAAGTCATATAGCCATATTTCGTTTTTATTTCGATTAATTATTCAGCTCTACATGATCATTAGAAGATATCTATCCTGGAAGCAGCCAGTCATAATGCAATATTGCCCTAAGAAATTCTGCATCCTGAGAGTCTTAGGCTGCCACAGCACTAATGCATCTGCTGGAATTAACCGCGGTCTGTGATTAACTCCATAGGGAAGTCCCTGGCAGACTTCATTATCATTCTAATGGGTCATTTCAGATCCTAATCAGTGGCTAGTAGGGCTGCACAATTAATCAAATTTCTAATCGCGATTACAATTATGGATGCCACAATTACGTAATCGTTCAAAGCGGCAATTAATCATTCAAAGTCCACTTACGCTATTCTGCACGCTTACGATGCGGTTTTTCTTTCTACATGTTATTTTAAGAGTTTTTCCATTGTTTTAATTTTAGTTTTAGTATAACATTATAATACCATTCATATTTGTACTTTTTTATAATTTAAAGAAGAAACCAATCCGATGTATATTTGACATTTGAGGCTTAATACTATTGAAAAGCACTAAAAGTTCTTCAGTTAGAGTATTTACAGCTTGTTTATTTTCATATAAAAATACATGCAGTTGCATCAAACAATGGTATAAACATCATTCAATGTAAATTGTGATAATCGTAATAAATAATCGCAATTACAATTTCAAAGGAATAATCGATAATTATGATTTTTGTCATAATCGTGCAGCCCTAGTGGCTAGTTCTAAAAACTGAAATACAAATGCATAAATGTATTTCTATTACAAACAGAAACCATCCATATATTTAGGTAAACCCTAATTCAAAGAATCAAACCGTGTTTGATAGATGAAGGACTGTTCCATGATATAGACACACTGTATATGGATACAGCCAGAAAAGAATGCTCATTGTGGGGGAAAAAAACTTGGTCACCATAGTTAATTACAAATTAATTTCTATGGGGAAAATAAGGAGAAATATACATCTGACAATTTTTTTTTATTTTTTATAAATGACTCCACAAAGTCCAGCATATTAAATAAAAGACTGCTGTGAATTCAGCAATAATGATGTAAGACAAATATGGAATCTCACATTTGAACATATGCGTGTCTGCAACAGACTTTACTTCCTGTGTTTTAAACAAATACATAGTAAAAGTAAACAAGTAAATAAAATTGTAAAGTACTAAAATAGCAAATCTCAGAAAATGACTTAATTTAACTTAAAGTGGTCATATGATGCGATTAAAAATTTTCCTTTCTCTTTGGAGTGTTACAAGCTCTTGGTGCATAAAGAAGATCTGTAAAGTTGCAAAGACTAAAGTCTCAAATCCAAAGAGATATTCTTTATAAAAGTTAAGAGTCAGCCACGCCTACCTAAAACGGCTCGTTCTAACATGCCCCCACATACCTACTTCGCTATGTGGGAAGATTTGCATAACGCCGCCCAAATGTTCACGCAAAGAAAGTGTTTGTCATTTCTCCGATCACAAATGCAGACATGGTTTTATGTTTACGCGGTGCAACGCAATGCATAAAGGACAGTATAAGTAATTATAATCCATAATTATGTCCCCACTGGATGCAACGAATGCCTCGTTTATAATGGGTTTTCATGTTTTTGTCTCATCGCTCCGGCCGGAAAAGGTATCACAATATGGCAAGGGACGTAACATTTCCGTCACACGCTTGAGGTATTCGGCCAATCACAACGCACTGGATAGCTGGCCAATCACAGCACACCTTGCTTTTCAGACCCATGAGCTTTGTAAAAATCAACGCGTTTCAGAAAGGCGGGGCATAGAGGAGAAACAATAATGTACAGTATGGGGAAAATAATGTGTTTTTTGGACCTTAAACTGCATAAACATTTCATTACACCAAATACACAAAATAATGTTCTTTTTAGCAACATCATATGACCCCTTTAAACAGAAGAACTACACTTTATGATTTTTTTTTTATTCACTCCAAGTTATGATGTATTGTTCAGATACCGTTCAATTTGGGGTCAGTAAGGTATTTTTGAAAGGAATTACTTTAATTCAGCAAGGATGCATTAAATTAATTAAAAGTAACAATAAAGACATTGATAATTTTACAAAATATTTCTATTTTAAATTAATGCTGTTCTTTTGAACTTTCTATTCATCAAAGAATCGTAAAAAATGTATGATGGTTTCCACAAAAATATTAAGCAGCACTGTTCAAACTGTTTTCAACATTGATGATAATAAGAAATATTATTTAAGCACTAAATCGGCATTAGAATGATTTCTGAAGGATCATGTGAAACTGAAAATTCAGCTTTGCGGTCACAGGAATAAATTACATAATCTAAACAGAAAACTGTTATTTAAAATTGTACATTTACATTTCAAAATATCACAGTTTTTACTGTATTTTTGATTAAATAAATGCAGCCTTGGTCAGCATAAAAGACTTCTTATTAAAAAACAATAGTAAAAAAATCTTACTGACCCCAAACTTTTGAATGGTAGTGTATGTTGTTGGTGAAATGCTCATTTTTAAAGCAGACTTATTTTAAATTTAAGACTTATTTTTTTTCTCCTTTTTAAAAAATTTTTTTTTAAAGATTTTTCCTGTTTTGTTGAAGTTATTAACAATGCATCTTTCTCCATAGAAACATTTTTGAGTTAATTTACTTATTTCAAAGCGTCTTCAGATGCTGCTTTCAAAAACTGACCAAATAAACTTCTCTCAGAAGATACTACATAATTATTGAATTGTACATGTCTTAATGCCTTCCTATCCCTGAATGGCATTTTTCAGCATTTGGACACAGCCAATGACATAGATGAAAATGAAGAGTTTGGATTAGTAAAAAAAAATAAAAAGAATAGGTGGGCGTGACTTACCACCACTGAGCAGCTTCATGACCAACCACAGCTCATCTTTCACCACGAACGAGGTGTAGTACGACACAATGTTGGGATGGTGACACTGGCTCATCCCCTGAATCTCTTTCTAGAGAAAGTAAAAAAAGAGACAATCACTCTTCATTGACAGTAACCCGATTTAACCAATATCCTTTCTAAATGATTCAGAGTGTGCAATAATTGGACAAAACAATAATTTGCTTCCGTCAGGGAATTACACTCAGGAATCAGCACATGTGCTGGTCATAGACTAAAGCAGCTCTCTGTGTATGCAGTCATATAGTATGCGGTCCAGAATGCACTGGGCCTCATGGCGAATAACTGTGGTGCCTCACAATGGTGCCATTCCAGATCTGGATTAATGTTTAAACATGTCTGGCTCAGTTGGAGAGTTGGCAAATCTTCAGAATCAGTGCTGATATTTACATACTTCAGGTGAAATAGTAGTTTTTATTAGCTCACTCATATACTGTAAGAAGCACCTCCAGCCCCTTCCACTGACCGCAAAGCACGTACAAACATTAAAAATAAACAACATCCATCCAAGCATGCTGTAAACACCATGACACCTTCATCTGACTGCCTTACAGCCTGTTCCAAATAACCAAGGAATCCAAATAAATAGATGTATATGTTACTGTCAATATCTAGAAAACCGCCGCTGCTAGATATATTTTTCAGCATTCGTAAAACAAAAGGAAAAACGAGCTGTTTTCTTCTCCATCCCGTTTAGTTGCTAGTCTTTCTAGTTGATGGAGCAGTTGAAGTGAAACACTTGCAGCTCGGAGAGATTGACAGCTGAGGTAATGTTGGGACTGCGGCCGAATTCATCCCTCTGAGCTTTCCCCGACTCATTTGATGGTGGGGGTTTACTAATGATATTACAAAGCAATTCTGCCATTTCTATTTGGCTGTCAGGCCCAGACTTGTTCAATTTGTTACATGCAATGCAAAGCAATCAATAAGAGAAACTAAAAACACTGCAGGGTTAATGCTAATGAATGGCCACATGACTTTATACCTTCACAATGCTGAAGCTTCATACCATCTTGTGGTGTTTTGTTAAAATTAAAATGAATGGGGACCAGAGCTTTAAAGCGGATACAAAAGCACCATAAAAGTGGCCATTCATTGCTGTTATATGGAAAAATTAGGGTTTTTTTATAATAAAAAAAATAATAATTTGTAAACAAACTAAAATATAACTTCAGAACATATGCAAGAGCACTATAAAAGCGCCCATTCATTGCAGTCACATGGAAAAGAGTAACTTACTTTAAATAAGAAATGTATTTTGATGTATTTTAATTTTTTTTATATATTTAAAACAAAACCAAATAAAATAGCTTCAAAAAAGATGCAAAGGCACAATAAAAGTACCTATGTAATGCAGTTACAGTGGGTATAGAAAAGAATCACCCCCTTTAAAAAATCACATTTTGTTGTTTTGCTGCCTGAAATAAAGACAGACACAGTCTTTGTTTTATTCAGCTGTATTTACTCAGTGCAACTTATAACTATATACAAACACCATGTCAGAAAAAAAATAAAAACAGAATTACTGAGTTGGAATAAGGATCACCCCCGCCTACAAATGACTGTTAAACTGAATCAGGTGTAGCTAATCACCTTCTCAATGGCACACAAAGCCATTTGACTTTAAACTGTGATCAGCTGTGGTCATTTTGATCAATTCACCATGAAAAGAGCTTTCCTGGAGCATTTCAGTCCTTGGTAGTGCAACTGAAGAAAACAATCAACTATGGGTGGCAAGGCACTGTCAAAAGATCTCCGGGATAAAGTTGTGGACAGGCACAAAGCAGGAGATTTGACAAAAATGTCAAAGGCTTTATCAATGGCTAGAAGCACAGTGAAGTCTGTTATTAAGAAGTGGAAGGTATTTGGTACAACACAGACCCTCCCTGGATCAGGATGTCGCTCCAAACTGGATGAAAGAGCCAGGAGGAAACTGGTCAGAAAGGCGACTAAGAGGCTCCAAGTTTCCTTAAAACATAGTGTGTGTTGCAACTCTTTGATCTCAGCATGATGAGCAAAGCGTTTCGATCAAATTATTCCTTAGTCCAACGATGAGTAATTCACATTACAAAAGAAGGAATGAAAGACAAAAAAAATAATTATCTGAACAGTTGATGGGCACCATTGACTTCCATAGTATTTATTTTTTCCTACTATGGAAGTCAATGGTGCCCATTAACTGTTCGGATTCTAACATTGTTCAAAATATCTTCTTTTGGGTTTGGAACAAGTGGAGGGTGAGTAAATGACGACAGAATTTTCATTCTGGAAGTGAACTACTCCTTTAAGTCAGGTGGAACCAGATTTTCAGGTGTCAAACATTCTAATGTTGAAAAGCCAAACCTAAAAAAAAAACACAAGACTATTGCAATCACTACTCAAGAGTGACGAAAGTGATGTGACATGTGGCCAAGTATGGTAACCCATACTCAGAATTAGTGCTCTGCATTTATCCCATCCAAAGTGCACACGAACACACACCCGGAGCAGTGGGCAGCCATTTTTTGCTGCGGCGCCCGGGGAGCAGTTGGGGGTTCGGCGCCTTGCTCAAGGGCACCTCAGTCATGTTATTGAAGGTGGGAGAGAGCACTGTACATTCACTCCCCCCACCCACAATCCCTGCCGGTATGAGACTCGAACCCGCAACCTTTGGGTTACGAGTCCGACTCTCTAACCATTAGGCTTCCCCGGGAAGTTTCTGTCCTGTGCAGTACAGGAATGACAAAAATGGCAGAGACCCAAGTATGAAATCAGCATGGCTCAACTCAACCTGTTCTAAAGCCTGCATTTACACTGCATACAATTTACACATACACTTCCCTTCTAAATTAACTAAGGTTTGAATATAAGCAAATGCTGCTTTGTAAACCATTCAAGTATGGTAATGAATTGAACCAAAAAATGCAGCCATGTTGTAATTAAGTGCACCACTCTGCTTCAAATATATGGGACGGGTTGCAGCAGTCTCCTCCAATATTTAGATAAAAAAGTCAATAAGGAAACATGCCATTTTAAGTTCTTGAAAAACAACATGGCAATCGAACTTTAAAAGTCGAGTCTTCAAATGACCCTGTGAACATGAGCCATGGTTTCCACTGACCCAAAAAAAAAAAAAAAAAACCTTACAAGTGCAATCATGTATGCCAGTCAACACAAAGCTCTTCTCGTGCCAAAACCGTGGGGTCACTGACACCCCAACAGTGGGCCACTGGACATTGCCCACCCCTCTGTCCCAAAGCTGGACTTAATTCAACAATTCAGACAGCTTTGGCTGGCTCCACAAAGCCCGTGTCCACTTCCATGATGGACACCAGGTTGAGGGCATATCAAAACAATAATAAACGGGGCGGGCTTTGGATGTTCACTGGATGCTAGCGCTCCATCTGCATTCTCACAGTAGAAGCCAAGGGTCATCTCAGCTTGGCTGGCCGATGTCTACCCGAGAGAGACAAAAACAATGGGCTGAACAGGGAGGGTGACATCAAGAGACTGTTTGCCACCCGATTTGTGTACGTCCAGAGGACAATGAGCAAAGAAAAGCACTGAGACTCTTTGTCTGTGGTTATGTCACTGCCGTTCTGCCACCATGCCCAGTAGAAAAAACACTTTCCTTCTTCCTCAGGGCAAATTTCTCACTCTCTATACAATGTTCTCCAGTAAACATTTCCATCTGAATTAAAATTAAATTTAAGCCTGGGATAACATTTGTGAATATGGTTATTCAGTCAAATTCATATGCATCAAGACTATCCACTGACAAGTACTTCCAATTTAAAGGGGTCATATAATGCTACATGCACTTTTACAAGTAGTTTGAACTGAAATGTGTGTTGGCAGAGTGTGTACACACAACCACCCTAAAATGATAAAAATAATTTTTTGTTATTCTACTAAAATCTTTACCCCTTTCTCAAATCAAGCTGATCTCAGATGCCTGTCTGTGTGATGTCACACAGACAGGCCCCTCTCAAGATAGTTTGATTGACAGTAGCGTTTCAGCACAGACTACCTAATCTACCTAAATGCGTCTGTTCGTGCAAATCATTCGTGATCCAGCTTCACCTACAGAAGAAGTGAGTGTAAGGATTTTTTTACGAATCTTTGCAAATTAGCAAGTTTCAAGATGAATGCAGCTAAAGTAAACAGTCTCTCTGAGAGCGGCTCAGAAGAGAGGGGCGGGGTCAGCAGAGCTCATTTAAAGGAAAATGCTACAAATCTGCATGCTCTGAAAAAAGCTGTTTTTGACAGGGTAAAAAAGGTGTTTTTTCACACTACCATTGAGAAATTTTAACCAAACTATGTTACAGACTTTTCATTAAGACCCTAAAGAATCATATCAACTTGTGGAAAATGGGCATCCTATGACCCCTTTAAACTATGGCAATGACAGGGAAAAACATCCACGGCGATGACCGTCATTTGGTCTCTTCAACTTTCAGATTTGAAAAGATGCAGGTAAAAAGATGAAATTTTCATTGACCCCCCCTTTTCAGTTAGTAAACATTTTGACCTTTTTTGAAAGATTCCCCTGACTGCTTCACTAATGCTAGTTAGCAAGTTTTGTTTGCTTGATTTTTAACTGAATATGTAATGTCACTCACTGCCCGGGATTGTGATTGTTATTTGAAAATGTTAACTTTAATGGAAGGAACCAGATTGGCTGACTCGTACACACTCACTCAATGGACAATCTGACAGGAGTGGCCTGACACACCTACCAGATATAGAAACCGAGCGTGTATAGTAAATAGAAACTGAGGGCATATAAATCTTTAGATGCCTAGAACTACTGTATGTATTCACAGTGGCAATTGTAAGCAAATGCAACTACTTGAACACACACCTGGCATATAACATTTGCCTTCACTGTTCCCTCTCTCAATTGCACTTATGGCAACTGTAGAAAGTGAGACGACACAAATGGTTTCCTTTATGTTTAGCCTCTGGTCGTTAGTTAACTTGTTTCCCAATTTCTGATTAGGTGGGCATGCATGAGAAATCTTTAGACTCGTAACAAAACCATAATCCATACCAACAAAAGACAATAGTTTATTTAACCTTAACTGATATGAAGTGTGCGCTGCAAACACGAGCATTATTGATGATCGTTTCAGTCCAGTCCGCTCGTTTTATTGCTTTTAACCACAGCTGTCATCGGTTTTTTGTCTGGCAATGGCAGCAGGTATGCAATAAAATTTCAAATTGGAGCCTGTACTCCATTGATTCTGACACTCAACAACACAACCAGATGACATTTTAAGCTCCTTATGTAGCCGACTCTGTGCTGGTTTGTATATAGCTGCCTCCAGTTATCCTTTTGTTTTGCCTCCAGCTCATGCTGTGATGTAATTGTGACGTTGGCACTAAAAAGGTCTATAGTACAGCAGAAACACCTGTGTGCATTTATGATTTAACAATCACTTTGCTTTGACCCACTGATATTCTCACATTGCCCTGATCCCTCATGACCCAAACACACTTACACACACAGTCTACCAACATGCCACCAGAAACAAGCTATATTTTTCCATTAGCTTGAAAACCAGATTAAAACAGGTCAGCAGGATATTTAGCTGATTCCCTTTCATCAATTTTAAGAACATTTCCTTTGAGATCAGTAAAAGGAATATTGCTCTCCTGCAGAAATATATCAAAAACGCAATCTCATGTATATCTCAGAATGTAAATTTCAGCTGTCATGAAAAAGGGCTGCAAGTTTTGGCTAAAAAAACATTTAAGCTATTTTGACAAGTATTACAACTGCGTGCGGCTTGATCATAAATGATATGATCATTAATGATTATTTGCTAATTTTTACATTTTGTACTTGTATAGTATAGTAATATATTAAATAATGTATAGTAAAATAATAAAAATAATAATAATCCTGAATATTAAAATCATTATACAACAGTAATATTTGGTCCAGTGGTCCAGTTGCAGAAAACTGAAGGAAGACCTTTGACCATATTACAGTATAATATATACTGTATATATATATATATATATATATATATACACTTATATGTTGTATACATTTAAATTGTACATTGTACATTAAAAGCAACAAAGCACAAAGCTTATATTGTGATTATAGGATGGGATGCACACTACAATGTTTAGTGAAGTTTTGTTCACTCATCAGCTGAAAACAGTATAGACAAAAAGATTTCGGTTCATCAAAAGAAAATGTATGAAATGAAGCCATGTTCTAGGCACCTAATCTATCTAGGAGAAATGCAGTAAATTCGAGCACCGTCATCTGATGGACAATTGGCAGACACTGAAGTCATGTGATTTGAAAAGGCCTTGGGGAGGTCTTGTCACGTCCCTGCAGAATAAACGCTGCAGTGGTACACAGTGGGGTCACTATAGATTCAGCTTGACGTCAGTGGCACTGACAGGATCGCAGCTCAGTCAGAGAGGAAAATCGTTCCTCCCACCACAACAGAGTCACACGGATTCTGCGTTGTGACTTGTTTGGACTGTCCTGTTCTTTTCTTCACAGCCATCTGGGCTGCTCCTGCATGTTGGCAAGAACTAGAGCATGCTACACTCCTGCAAATTGGCCTGATCAGAAGTGAAATTGACCCAAACCTCTGGAAGGAACTTCCTCCGAGTGCAGCCCTTGATGCAGATTGTATGGAATAGCTGCCTGCTGCTCCCGCTCATTACGGGAGCAATCTGGCTTTAATTTAATGCCTCCTCTGGGTTTAAGAGAGCGCTCTGCAGGTCATAAAGGCAGCGAAAGCATTGGAGGAAACCCGACCTTCAAATTTTCCATGTGACCCTAACTCTACAAGAATCTCCCTTTAACTTTCACCCAAGTCATTCCCAAGGGTTTTCTTCAGTTCAGCTGGAAGAAAGTCTCCATTTACTGAAATCACTGAGGGCAGGACTAGGGATAATATCAGCCATGACTTCTAACTCCTCTGTAAGACACCTGGATGTGGGAAAATTTGAGTTTCTGGTAGCCTCCTGCAGTGAGCTTGTAAATCAGAAATATAAGCTTTCCCAGTGAACAACGAAATGGGCTCCGCCTGTTCACAAGGAACATAAGTAGGACCTTTTGAGTTCCTTATGGAGTTGACAGATGAAGTTAATAAGCTGAGAAGGGGAAAGGATTTTTGTAGAAGCATAAGGCCTCATGAATGGAAATTATAACTTGGCTGTAACTTAACAAGAATGTAACAAAAAGGCAAACTAGGAAACTTTCAAACAGAAATTGATGTTTTACAATTGGAAGAGAGGCAAAAAAGTTCTTTAATGACTGGGATGAAGCCTTATATTAGTCAATGTTGTGATTCAAAAAGAAGTGCAAGGGGGAATTCTGACTAGGAAAAAAACACAGGGAATCCCTTTGGTCCAGTTAATAACGTTTCCAGGCAATCTGGAAATGGTATAATCCATGTGTCAACTCCTTTTCTCGTAGGAAAGAGTTCTGATTCTCATTTACTGAGAGTGCGAATGCACACATTTACACAACCGGAAAATTTTCTTTTTCATTTTTTTGTTTTTGTTTGTTTTTTGGAAAGGAATTCATCCTTTTATTCAGCAAGGAGACAAATGGAAAGCAGTTATTTTAAATTGTAATAATATTTTACAATGTTACTGTTTTACTCTAGTTTTGATCAAATACAGTGCACAGCATAAATGAGTACACCCCCTCTGAAACTTAACAAATTCAGCAATTACTCTGAAAGAGTCAAAGAGCAGGAGAAACACTGTGAAAGTGTCTCAGAGCCGGCAAAAGCTGTGAAAAGAGTGACACTTTATCTCACAGAGTAAGATGCAGCATGCAGAAGTCACATGCATGGTTGTTTATCCACACCAGAACTACCGACTGTAGCCAAAGCACAATAAACTCATTTAGCTTTTTCCAAGGCCCATATTTACAAAATATAGACTTCTGGGAATCCACACTCTGGTCTCATGAGACCAATTCAATCATTTCGGATCTAACAGCATCCAAAATGTTCTGGTGTTGCTAGAGGAAGGAGTACAGAGAGAAGTGCCTGGTTCCCACAGTGGCATTCAGTGGTAGTAAAGCTCTTCTATAGGGATGTATGAGTGCTGAAGGTGTGAGGGAGTTGTACTTTATCAACGCTTTCATGAATTCACACACCACTGTGTGATGTAATACAAAAATCTGAAACTGAAGATGCTACCCTCTTCTCATTCCCTGCAATGTTGGCCATTTTTTTTAACATGACAATGAAGATATTCATTCTCCTGAGTTGAAAATCCTTCAGTGGACATGTATTTCACTCAATCTTGTGAGCTGCTGTGAGAGATTCTGTAGAGACGAGCTGAGCAACACTCCCCATTAAAGACCAGGGCATTTAAGGAGGTCGTTCTCCAGGAGTTAAACAGCACAGATGTGAAAATTTGTCATGAACTTGTACACTCAGTGCCAAGAAGTGTCAGAGCAGTGTACTTAGAGTTATGGAGGACTTATTACGTTCTAGAATATTACACTTGGTTGAATTAAATCTAGGTTGTACTCAATTCTGCAATCCTTCATTTAAACAAAAATTGGCTAAGTTTCTTATTTTACAGATATTAATTAACTTTGGGACAAATATGGACTAACCCAGCTGTTGGGTTAAATTTTTACATAAAATTTTTAACCCAAAAGTTGGGTTAGTCCATATTTGACCCAAAGTTGGGTTGAAACAACCCAGCATTTTTTAGTGTGTATATATATACATACATACATAAATATATTTTATACTATATTTACCTGTGTAAAAAAAGTAATCGTCTAAGTTATTGTCAAAAACACACAACAAATGTCAGTAAGTTTGTGTCCATGCATTACAATTAGTCTTGTACAGTCATTATTCACCGTCAGCTCATAAAAGGTGTTGGCATTTATGAGCCATGACTTATAGAGTGGTATTGCTCAATGCTCATATGCAGCCTTTAAATGTTGCACTGCTGGGATCATGTCAAACAGGTTTCATATATATTTAAGCAGAACATAAAATTTCCATATGAAGAGTGCTGTTTGTCTCCATACCAATACCAGAACACTATTCATGAAATGGAATTCACAACCCATTTGACTTCCATACTTGTGCTAATATCTAGTATATGCAATGCAATGAACCAAATGTGCTGTTTAAATATGTGGAAGCAGGTTCAATACCAGGAGCTCGTCCATGCTGGTCTGGCATTTTTCCAGATTGATGCGTTTGATAGCGACCTTCTCCTTCCTGGGCACACAGTAGGCAGCCTGGACCACAGCCGTAGCTCCGCTTCCTACAATACACAAGAATGCACGTTAAACTGAGTACATCAGGAGCTGCATGGGACATGAAGTCAGGACAAATAGAAGAATGAAGAGGAACAAAACCCTCCTGAACACCCCAGACACCTCAAACAGTAATCCATAAAACATTACATCTATGGCTTAAAGTTTAAATATGTAAAATAAATATATACTAGCTTTTTCTCCCAAAAGTTCACTTCTAATGTCGACTTAAAATATGCATTTTGAAAAAAAAATGTATTGTCATGTATTTGTCAAATTTAAGAGTAGTAACTTTAATGAGGTTATAACATAACTCTCTTACACTTACAAGACAAGGAAATTATAGTAAAAAGTTACTATGTCAAGAGGAGGAAAAAAAATCTGATAACAATACAAACTAATGGCATAAATAATAAAAATAATTGAATGAAGATCATATAAAAAGTAAAATTAAATAATTTATAATCATTAATAATTTCATTATTATAATTTTTTTCATAATCTTATATTAAACATTTGATATTTTACTGTTGCATGAATGACACATTTTAAATCTAAAAAAATGAATAATTACATTTTAAAATCATTATAATAATAATAATAATAATAATACATTATTTTCATAATGCTATATTAAAATGGTTATACTTGTTAATAAAAAAATTATATTTGTATGGATGATGAATGACTATTACTGTCAAAAAAGTAAAAATATAAAAAATGTATAATAGATTTTCCAATCAATAACAATAATAACTATTATTATTATTATTATTATTACTACTACTACTACTATATTCATAATGCTGTTATATTAAAAGAAGTTATACTTTATTGCTGCATGAATGACAAATTATTATTACTCTGTCAAAAAGCAGAAAAAAGCAGGTTCTGCATATTGGTTTTCAGACACTTTAACATAAAAATAATTGCTCATTAAACAATGACATTTATCTCCAGCCATTTCACTTACTCCCTGGGAAAGTGCTGGAGAAGAGCTGACAACTAAATGCTAAATCAAAACATTCCTCTGTCACTGCAGTTTTGGACATTCATGAGAGAAGACTATTAAATCCTAACAGACTATAAGTCAAAGTATTTGAGCTATACTTGGCTTTCAACTTTACTGCTGAGGTTAATCTCCAGAGTGCATTAATTAGGTTCTGCTCATGGCACCACAGACTGGCACCAGAGAGAAAGCAGACAAGACACTTCTGGAGACGGTTATCCTTGAGAACGCAAGGTTATCCTGGTCCACACATCCTGAATAATAGAAGACAAGACTCTATGGGGGCCAAGGCCCTCGTAAATCAGCGTGCACCTACTGTATGTTTCCACTGTGAGCAGAATATTAATGACATATTATTGTGCTGATATGAGGCAGAGGGAATTTTTTTAATCATCTTTAATCATTCACCCGAACTTCGTATGGCCTAATAATAACAAAGTCCTCATTGTTTAGCATTTTGATTGCACCAGCAGGGCACCATGGATACTTTGGATAGAAGAAAAAAATGTGACAACAGCTCTCTTTTTCATGTAAAATCTACAGTGTTGGACAGGCCTGACTAGTTAGTGTACAGCCAAATACAGTCATTGAAGAATCTGCAGTGATATGGCTAGAATGTTACCAAAATGTGCTGACAGCAATCCCATTAATCACATCCTAGCCTGTTTGCTATGGCCTGCAGCAGGATGTTGGTCCCCCGTACGGCCCTCAGAGTGTGAGCTGTGAGCAACAGGTCAGCCGGGATGTTCAGCGTTCATCAATAAGAATCTAGAGCTATATTTAAGACCCTATGCCATACATAAGGGAGAGCAGCTCACCAGATGGAAAGAAGATCGAGTTGCCTGAGCCAACAGCATGAGTTTAAATGTAAATTCCTACAGTGAAAGAAACAATCAGTTGTCAAGGATGATTCGGAGAAGACTGTACTAAAGTTGCCCATGCATGTGCCAAAAGAACATTTTTTTAGCTGAAAACAAAAAGACCAAGAAAAACAAAGACAGTGAGAATATTTGTAAATATTTGTAATATTTGTAAATGTGCACAATAACTTTCTTTATTTTTACATTAAGATTACCTTTGCTGTCATCTAATGCTCACTTAAAATAATTTTCGTTATGTTTAATTTTTTTATTCAGGTAAAATATAGAATTGTAGTTGAGCCCAAAACAAAGATGAAAATACATTTAAAAAATGATCATGTACTTATAATCTAACAAAATTTCAGATATACTGTATGCTGTTCTTTTGAATTTTCTGTTCATCATAGAATCCTGAAAACAAATGTATCATAGTTTCCACAAAAATATTAATACAATACAATACAAATTTTATTTCTATAGCACATTTAAAACAACTGCCGTTGACCAAAGTGCTTTCCAGCAACATTACATACAGTCACACAATCAAGATTCAACATTAAAATGTAAAGCCTGGTCCCTCTAGTCAATTCTAAAAGCTCTACCAAAAAGGTACGATTTCAATCTAGACTTAAAAGCATCCACAGATGGGGAAGATTTAATGTGCATTGGGAGAGGGTTCCATAATCGAAGACCAGCCACTGCGAAAGCCCCATCAACCTTTGATTTTAATCTTGTTTTGGGAACATAAAGAATCATCTGATTCGAAGATCTCAAGTTTCTTGAATTTTGATAAGGAATCAATAGGTCAACAATATATTTTGGGGCAATGCCATGCAACGCTTTAAAAACCATCAACAAAACCTTAAATTCAATTCTAAATTCTACAGCAAACCAGTGTAAAGACGAGATAATTGACCCTGTGAAATACCTATATATACACAGAATTACAGTAATCGATGCGTGATGACACAAAGGCATGAATAATAGTCTCCAGGTCCTTAAAAGAGAGAAATGTTTTCAGTTTAGAAATAATTCTGAGTTGATAAAAGGCAGCCTTCACAACACTAGTAACCTGTTTATCTAAAACTAAAGTTGAATCCATTATAACACCCAAATTCTTAACATGATCTGAAACACTTATCTTCATAGCGGCCAACCTACTTATAATTTCCTTAGAAGCAGAAGAAGGTCCAAAAACAACACACTCAGTCTTATTAGTATTAAGACGAAGAAAATTGCTTGCCAACCAGGCTCTTATCTCACCTAAACACTGAGCAAGTCCATCAAAGGATTGAGAAACATTTGGATCTATTGGGATATATAACTGAGTGTCATCTGCATATAAATGATACATAATATTATATTTACGAAAAATTGAACCCAAAGGGCCCATATATAATGAAAATAAAATAGGCCCAAGTATAGACCCCTGTGGCACACCACTATGTAATTTAGCTGATGTAGAACACAGATCTCCAAGACAAACCGAGAAAGATATATATTTTAGATACAACTTAAACAATTCTAGGGCAGTACCCTTAACACCAACATCTTCCAAACGCTGCAAACTACCTTTCCTGAATCAACTGTCAAAAAAATTAAAAACCTTAAGAAGGGCGGATTCTGTACTATGAAGAGATCTAAAACCTGACTGAAACATATCTATAACAGCATTCATATCTAAATATGACGCAAGCTGAGACTGAACAACCTAAAATTTTCGATAATAAAGGTAGTTTTGATATAGGTCGGTAATTACTTAAAACAGTATAGTCCAAATTTGGTTTCTTAAGAAGTGGCTGCACTACTGCATGTTTAAAACAAGCAGGAACATTTCCATTAATTAAACTACTATTAAAAAGAGATTGAAGAGTTTTACCTAAAAGCTCAAACAATTTTAACAACAGCCGAGGAGGAAGAGGATCAGACGGATGTGCAGCAGGTCTAGTGTGCCTTAATATATGCTCCAACTGAGGTAAAGAAATAGGTTCAAAACTACTAAATGAACTCTGATGACTTAACTCAGAATGAAAGGTGGTTACTGGTCTAATCTGTGAATGAAGATTATCAACTTTGTTTACAAAGAATTGCAAAAAATCCTCACACATCTTTTGAGTAGCCTCGAGACAATTAGTAGGTGCAGGAAAAATCACTTTATTAATCGTATTAAATAAAATATTAGGCTTCTTATTGCAACATTTTTTTTTCTCCAAATAGGCAGAAATATTCTTAAAAATGAAAATTTGTCAAAGCTTCTCTTAACATATCAAATGATACTTGCAGCCTATCCTTCTTCCATTTTCGTTCAGCCCTTCTGCAAATTTTCCTTGACGTACAGATTTCATCATTCATCCACGGCTGTGATTGTTTTTTTGATTCCCTATATTTTAAGGGAGCAATCTCATCTAAAATTTCTGTACAAACCGAATTAAAAGAATTAAAATACCCATCCACATGAAGATCCGGAGAAGAAAACTCTAAATCATGACAGAATGATGAGGCCAACAAAGGCCTCAGAAAATG